ATCTTTGATTTCCACTTATTTGCAGACGATTCTAATCTCTTCTACAAAGATAAAAAATTAAAATCCTTAGAATTGATAGTAAATAACCATCTAACAGCCATATACACTCTTGGCTAACAAGCTCAAATAAACTTTTGTTAAACATTGAAAAATCTAACTTCGTTATATTTCATAGTGTACAGAAAAAAATGCAATCTTCAAATAAAAACAAACTCTAAATTCCTTAAACACGAAACCAAAATAAAGTATTTAGGAATAATGCTGGATAATCAACTAAACTTGAAGTCGCAAGTTTCATTAATTGCTAGTAAAATAAAACGCAATATTGGTATAATCTCGAAAGCACGTCACTTCCTTAATCTCTTAATTCTTGTAATCTTTATTACTGTTTTATTTATCCATGTCTCACTTATGGTATTATTGTTTAGGGTCATACATACCAAACAACATTAAACAGTCTCCTGATCTTACAGAAAAGGGCTTTGCGTCTAATGACTTATAGCAGTTTCCAAGCTGATACCAGCCCAATCTTTATTGATCTAAATATTCTTAAGTTTCCAGATCTTGTTTTTCTCCACGTAGCTTTATTCATGTATGACTTTAATTTTAATAATCTTACAGCCTGATTTCGTTCTGTTTTCACTTGCGTTTACAAAACACATAGTCACAAGACCCGACTGGCGTCAAGATCGAGTTTTTCTCTGCCAAAAATTCGCACAAACTACTGCAAATTTAATAAAATTCTCAGGTGTCCAAATATGGAACAATATAAGTGAGTCGATTAAAAAAATTGAAAAACAAAAATTTAAAGATCATTTATGTACCCAAATTTTGAACTCATATTGGGATCATCTATCTAATTACTATTACAATTTAAATCTATGTACAAAGTAGCTACCTATCTAGTCTAACTTTTAAGTTATCATAGGTAGCTTGTACTTTTATGTATGTCATATTTCTCACAAATGTAAATATTCAATTTGTTTTATATCAATAAGTCCTGAATAAAATATTGATTGATTTATTGATTGATTGATTGTGGGTAAGAAATCTGGTGGGGGTGGTAGAGTCTGTGCTTTGGGAGTGCTGAAGGATGCAGAAGGAGAGGGTTGATCAAAACTAGTAGTGGGTTTTAATGGAGTAGGAGGAACCTCGGTCAAAGTTGAGGATTTCGCTCGACTGGGTTCGAAAGAAGGGGTCCTAATTTTCGACGTTAACCGCTCTAGAAAGGAAGGGGTCTTAGGTTTGGGCGTTACATAGCCACTGTCGCTGGCGAGACTTGTTGAGGGAACGTTTTCTGGAGTCGTAAAACTAGGGGATGGCATTTAAAGACTCTGACTTGTCAAGGGCGGTAGCATGGTTTCCTGCTTGGGTCTGTATACAACAGTGCTTGGAAGCTGCTGTTGTAGATTGAGGTATCGATTGTAGAGTCTAGTGTATTCTTTGATCTTCATTTCCGCGGAAACATTGGGTTCCATAAGAATGTTTTCCATCTGTTCCTTTAAATTCTGTATTGTTTTGAGTATGGGTGGTTTTAATTAACTTTGACGTTTGGAATTGTTAGCCATGGATGTCATAGTGGCATCATACTCTCCACCATACTGTGATAATGTTGTTGTACGATTCGGCTGGAAAGCAGTCTGATCATTGGGGAGAACATTAGTTCTGAGTCTGCATTCTTCTGTGTGTTTAGCTTCAGATCCACGAAAAGATATCCATAAGGGCGTTGTACAGCGGCCTCGTACTTTTGAATGAGCTGTTCTGTCTTGCCTGGATACATCTGCTTTCCCAAAGTCATCATTTGTAGTTTATCTCTTGGGTTTTTAAAAAGAACAAGGTACGCGCAGAATCTAGTGTAGAATCTACTATCTACACTAGATTCTACAACATCCAACAATATCCTCAACTTTGACAGAGGATCCTCCTACTCCATTAAAACCCACTACTAATCTTGATCAACCCTCTCCTACTTCATCCTTCAGCACTACCCAAAGCACAGACTCTACCACCCCCACCAGATTCCTTACCCACTCCACCACCAAGTAAAGAAAAACCAGTCAAGTGGATAAGTTATCAAGATGCTCATCAATATAAAGATGTAGTAAAACCTCCACGACGTTCAGAACGATTGAGAGCAGTCGCAAAGTCAATACCCAAGTGGGAAAAATTCTAAGCTAGCTGTAACTGAGATCGAAATTTATTGATAACAGAAAAAAAAMAAAAACATATATGGCCTGTATTCCACAGACTTGGTAACTTAATGGAACCTCACTGGAACCTCACTGGAACCTCAATCTCTTGGCCCAGTATTTTTATTTGTATACTACTAATACCAAAGATCTTTTTTAGCCGGAAAATGCATGCATACGAATATCCCATACAACATATAAAAATGTAACCTCTCTTAAGTATCTACAAATTAGAAGGGAAATTTTAAGAAAGGACTTAAACTGCATGTTTGTAATAAGAAGTTTACAAATGCAAGAACATTTAGATGTTATTTATATTACTATAAATATATAATTAATATAAATATATAATATAATATAAATATATAATATAATATAAATATATAATATAATATAAATATATAATATAATATAAATATATAATATAATATAAATATATAATATAATATAAATATATAATATAATATAAATATATAATATAATATAAATATATAATATAATATATAACCCGCCGACCCGCCGACCCGCCGAACCGCCGACCCGCCGATGAGAAGGGATAAATAAATACTAAGGTGAAAAATAAAGTGACCAATGAGAAATAAGCATATGAAGAAATAAAAGGAAACAAAAGGATCGAGAAAAAGTGAGAAATGGAAAGCAAAGCATGACTTATTAAAGCGTTCATTCATCTCATGGGGACTGATGGTGCCAAGTGAATGAGTATATAAGTCGCATTTCTATAGTTTTGCGTGAATTATTACCGCTGTGAAATAAACTTAATACCAAAGACAATGATGTTAGAATGATTAGCGGAATTAAAGTGGCGAGAAACTGGTTTAGAAAGATCTTGCTTACAAATGTCGTAAAGGGGATCTCTGAAACGGTCCCCTAAACGTCGGCCAGTTTCGCCGACATATAATGAATTGCAAAGAGAACATTGAATACAGTAAATTACATTAGAAGAAGTACAATCAAAATGATCAGTAACATTAAAAAGTCGATTTGGGGACTTTAACAGAGGTACGTGAAGAAATGAAAGGACAAGTGTAGCAATATTTACGTTAACAGCGAAAAGTGCCAGGGTTATTATCAGAGCGAAGAGTACCTTTGACCAAAAAAGAACGTAAATTACGATCTCTTTTAAAAGAAAACATAGGGCGTTGGCTAAAAATATTAGCGGTATTAGAGTCCGAATTAAGTAAATTAAAATTTCGATTAATGATGGGTTTAATCGATTTGTTAACAGGATGAAAGGTAAGAGTGAATGGAATGCGATCTAGGTTGGTAGTACGAGGCTTAGGAGTGAGAGCAGCATTAATCAATCAATCAATCAATCAATGAATGAATCGATCAATCGAACAATGAATAAATGAATGAATGAATGAATGAATATATATTATTAATTTCAATTTATTAAAATAAAATAAAATATTATTTTTCAATTAATCAAATATACAATTAATTAATTAGTTAATTAATTACTTGATTAATTAATGAAAAAGGGTGGCCTGTACAGTATATATAACGAAATAACAATAGCTAACAAGTACCATACACGCACACAAAAATATATCTATAATGATATAAATAACATCTAAACTATTTATGCTTTTGCATTTGTAAACTTGTCAGATTACAAACTACAAAAATGCAGTTTAAGTCCTTTCTTAAAATTCAAACTGAGGACGTTTCCCTTCTAAGGTTAGTTTAATGCAGTTGTTCGTAGATACTAAAGAGAGGTTACATTTTTATGTTGTATGGGCTAATTGTATGTATTTCCCGGCTATAAATATTCTTTCCTACCAAAGATCTTTGGTATTCTGTTTCACGGAATACATATGAAGAATAACTGCTTTATTATCCGTGCCAATTAAAGTTAATACGTTAATTAAATTTACCTTCAGTACCGTAGCTACATATATATTTCAAAACTCTGCGATTGCTTGGATTTTAAGGATTAGAAAGACGAAAAACGGATAAAATTAGTTTGCTAAAGTTGTAACTGGCTTATCTTGCAGGCATTAGTGGCTGCATAATGCACAAGAGCAGCAAGAAATGTCTTCGTCCTTTCGGAGGCCAAGTAAATCCAAGTGATGATGAAAAAGTAGTTTTCCACTCGGACTGCTGCCTCGGTCGAATACAGTTTACTATGACTCCAGACAAGGCCATAAAACACAACTCTAGTGGTCTTTGTTTGCACGTTAACCGTAAGTAATTATATCAATCTAGTATCTCTTGCATAACTTGAAAGCAACACGTAACTACTGGCAGAGCTCTAACTTTGGATCCCTAAGAATAAAAGTTGATGAGAGAGGCCAGGGATAAGAAATTGGAGAAACAGTCCTTCTCCTACATAAATTTACACAGGACCCTTAAAGGGAATTTTGAGAGTTGCCTGAGAAGGCCGATGTCATTCAGACTGGGGCAAATTTTCAATCTGATTTACTAGCAGTTTTTGTTTTGTTGTCGTTGACTGGTGCTGAACTTGAAAAAACATCAATCGCCAACCCCTACCTCCCCAAAACAAACATAAAATTTGGCTTAAATCACCCTTAATTTGTCAACAGATGAAACCAACCGAGTTTCCTTGCAGCAAAACTGCACAACAAAGTTCAACGTCTTGGACGGTACACTGCAAGTTGAAAACAGCCAACTCTGCCTACAGTCAAAAAGTCACCCTGATATTCCTCAAAACATTGATCTCCTTGAAGTTGGAAAAAACTGCACAGAGAAATATGCCTTTCGTTCACTGAAAGGTAAATTAATTCTAATTAGATATATATTAATTCTAATTAGATATATATTAGATATATGAGAAATGTTCACTGTGTATTGAACAATGCTAAATGTTGTGACTTTACAGAAGAATCCTTCGAAGGAAGTGCAACAGTGAATGCAGATTTTGTTCGTGTAGATATCACAAGACCCGAAGGCAAAGATTCGATAACAGAAGTCCTTATGCAAACTGCACCAAAACAAGAGGTTCTACAACGAAAAGTCCAACCTGCAGGGATCCCAGTAAATGTTGCTATGATATTGTTTGACTCGACGTCAGCAGCGAATTTCGTCAGACAAATGCCTATCACGAGAAGTTACTTGAAGACAAGGCCAACCGTCTTCCTTGAAGGTAATAATTGACTATTTGATCGATAACAATCTTTAATCAATCTTGTAGAAGACAGTGTAGCCCTATTACTAGGTTCAGCTAGCCCCGAAGTGGTAGGGTTACCTTTGGAGTAGGATCTTCAAATCGTATCTACGTAAAGAAGCTGAATTTTACCGATGACTAAAGCAACAGTAATGATGAAAAGGCAAATTATACACCGTGAAAAGATGAAAAAACTTACTGACGTTTCGGACGCTAGTCGCTAGACTAAAGCTAGAGATTGGGTCAACCCGGGGCTTAGTATACACCGAATTCAAAAAACGTTGTCATCGCCAAAGGCGATAGGCAATAGGTCATTCCGACGTGGAAACGGTTTTGTTGAATACAAAAGAACATGGAATCAGTCTCAACACTAAGGTCCATACTCTTGACGAGAATAATAATAAGAAACACAAGTCATTCCAGCTATTCTTGGATCATGGAATGACATACAGTCCTTTGACTAAACGTTGTCGTTGATCGGATCATCCCTACGCGCCTAGACCGAAAAGGATAACGGGAAAATTACCCAGAACTTAATTGCGTCATCCAAACTGCTCGTCGGCGTTAAATCTTCGCCTTGTGCTCGAGGCATGGTTTTAACAAATTAAATGGGATCGGAAACAGCGAGCTCAAGACGTGATAGATAACATATGCGGCAGCTTAGTAACTGTGAATTAATTATCCCCATGATCCTTTTCGGTCTAGGCGCGTAGGGATGAAGCCGATCAAACGACAACGTTTAGTCAAAGGACTGTATATCCTATCGCTTTTCGCCTATCGCCTATTGCCTATCGCCTTTGGCGATGACAACGTTTTTTGAATTAGGTGTATGTTGATAGTTTTTGTAATGGATGTTTCTACGGATGATCTTCAGGCTACAAAGTTTAATGGCATTAACATGAAGATCAATATCTATTACCAGATACTCAAGTAAGCTTGTTTCGCAATTCCCTTTTGCTCAACAAATTAGTTCAAAGTTGAATCGATATTTATTCTAGTAGTGTATCAACATTGTTTTTTTTCCTAAGAAAAATGAGGAACGTATTGATTGATACTATCCCTTCTTGTATACAGACCCTAGATAATTCTATTGATGTTTATAGTACACTCAACAAAATTACTCGACTCTGATTGGTCGAGAGGAGTACAATTATAGCGTTAATTGTACTCCGTAGGAGTACCGAATTAAGTCGCTATGGCAACAAGGCCAAAACAATGTCAAAACAATTATTTTCTATCATTTTGTACTTAAAAAACATAAATAAAGTCTTAAAGCCGTAAGAACTAATCTTTTTTATGCATTTCAGTTGCACGATGGACTGAAAATCGGCCGCCAAATAGACAAAGATGAACGGCGTCGCTTCGCATTTTTTACTGAAATTTTGTTGAGTGAACTATAAACAAAAAATCACACGATCTTCTCGTACAATTTGGAATTAATAGACACTCGTAATGTTTTGAAAGTTCCTTAATTGCACTCGCCTAAAGGCTCGTGCAATTATAAGAACTTTCAAAACATTAATCGTGTCTATTAATTTCCAAATTGTACTCGAGATCGTGCGATTTCCTATACTAATGTTGCGGTGTCTTTCTAGGAGAGACCATTGTTGGTGATGGAACAACTGCCCAGTTATGTGCAATGCTCACTGGAATCCCCGAGGAAGAACAGCCCGAGGCACGCCGCTCGAAGCCGAACGCAAAATTCGTGGATGACTGGCGATGGCTCTTTAGAGATTATAAAAAACGTGGGTATGTTACAATGTACTCGGAAGACTCACCGGGTCTGGGAGCATTCAATTTTCGATTGAAGGGTTTCAAAAATCCACCGACTGATCATTACGGAAGGCCTTTCTGGTTAGAAGCCGGTAAACATGCCCACAAGCGTTACTGCTCCACCAACCAGCCTATCCATAAAGTAACAATGAAGTATTTTTTGAGCCTGTTTCGCAGTTATCCTAACAACCCTAAATTTGCCTATCTGCCGTTTACTGACCTGACCCATGGAAACGTGAATGCCTTGAAATACGCAGATCAAGATCTTACTGATCTGCTGAAAACGATGGATAGAGAATCATATTTGGATGAAAGTATTCTTTTTATATTTGGAGATCATGGTGTTCGTTATGGAAGCATGAGAAAAACTCTACAAGGAAAACTAGAGGAACGACTGCCGCACATGTCAATCACTTTTCCCACGTGGTTTCCTAAAAAGTATCCACAACTGTACAAGAACGTGCAGCGAAATGCCAAGCTATTGACCACACCCTTTGACATATATGCCACCCTTCAGCATATTTTATCCTATCCTAAACTACCAAAAGAAATTAAATTTGGAAAAAGCCTTTTTATTCCAATTGACCCACAAAATCGTACATGCGCTAGTGCTGGAGTTGAAGAGCACTGGTGCCCGTGTATGAACCTAGAAAGAGTCCCTGTGGATAGCTCAATAGTAAAACAAGTTGTGAACTATGTAGTGAATTTTATAAACAACTTAATAGAACGAGAAGAGAAATCAAAGAGACTTTGCCAGAAACTGTCTTTAAAGGAAATCAAAACTGCCTTTTTGGAATTGCCCAATGAAAAAGTACAATCATTTCAACAGTCGAGCCAAGACCACAGATGCGATTCATGTGGAGTAGTTCTTGGTCAAAAGGATGAAAATAATTTAATCAAAGATACTCTTTATCAAATTCAATTCCTCACATCAACGAATGATGGCTTTTATGAGGCAAGTGTTCAACTTAAAGGTGGAGTCCCCAGCATCAAAGGAGTAATAAGTCGTGTAGATACGTATGGAGATCAACCATGGTGTATTCAAGATACTCATGTACATCTTATGAAATTTTGCTATTGTAATAACCGTGTTAGTTAATTAATGAGCATGCATAAGAAGACAAGACTCTGGGGTCGATTTACTCCCGAAGTATGGTTCTTTATTTAAACTCAAAAGTCTTGCTCGCTTCTTTCTTGAAGTTTTAATTTGAGGCATGTTCGCCGATTCTATTCACTCACACTGACAAAGTA